CAATCCTCACCCAAGGATAGTTTTTTAATATTTTGTTTTTGTTTTTGTTTTATCCTCACCTGAGGACCTGTTTGGGGGAAGAGGGAGAGAGAAACATCATTGTGAGAGAGAACCATTGATCAGTTGCCTCCCATATGCACCCTGACTGAGGATTGAACCCACAATCTGGGTATGTGCCCTGGTGGAGAATTGAAACGGCGACCTTTCAGTGCATGGGATGACATTCAGCCAACTGAGCCACACTGACCAGGGCTTCTGGGACTGATTTTTTTAAAATATATTTTATTGATTTTTTACAGAGAGGAAGGGAGAGAGATAGTTAGAAACATCAATCAGCTGCCTCCCGCACATCTCCCACTGGGGATGTGCCCACAACCCTGGTAGATGCCCTTGACCGGAATCGAACCTGGGACCCTTCAGTCCGCAGGCTGACGCTCTATCCACTAAGCCAAACTGGTTTCAGCCGGGACTGATTTTTAAAACAGATATAATTCACACACTATAAAATTTATCCTTCTAAAGTGTACAGTTCAGTGTCTTTTATATATTCATAAAATTGTACAAATATTACCCCAGTTTAAATCCAGAACATTTTGTCCTGGCTGGGTAGCTCAGTTGGTTAGAGTGTCATCCTGATATGTCAAGGTTGTGGGTTCGAGCCAGGGCACATACAAGAATAAAGCAATGAATGAAAAAATAAGTGGGACTACAAATTGATGTTTCTCTCTCTAAAATCAACTTTAAAGCAAAATAAACAAACCTGGAACATTTCATCACTCCAAGAGAAACTCTGTACCCATTAGCAGTAGAACTAAAATTTCTAAAAACAGCAATCTAGGCCAGGGAAAGATGGCAAGAAATACTCACGGAAACCCCACTCTGGGTAATAGTAAGAACATTTTACAGACCCCTGGCTCAGTTGGTTGGAACATTGTCCCATGCAATGTTTCTCTCCTTCCCTTCCTCCCTCTCTGAAATAAAAAAATTAAGTTTTACAGAGATTAAAACATAAAAATAAAAAGGTCTGGGACCTTCATGGTCTGGTGCCAAAGCCAGCTCACATTTAGCCATCTGATTTGATGATGTTCCAATCCACATCATATACTTAAAAAAAAAAATCTTTACTGTTGAAAGTATTACATAGGTCTTCCTTTTTCTTCAACTTTTTAAAATGACTTTGATATCTATCATGAGCTAAAAATAATTCTGAGTGTCATTTACTTAAATGGTTGTCTCTTTAGTAGGGGATTGAACTTGAGACCCTTCCGTCGCAGGCCAACGCTCTATCCACTGAGCCAAACCCGCCAGGGCCACACCATGTACTTTTGAAATCCTTCAACACCAACATGCTCATTTCTTTCCCCATACAGGGCAACCATGAGTGGTGTAGGGAGGCTGAGAGAAAGGAAAGACGTTCCTTTCCCAGGACCTACCCCTTTAAGAGAAAGTCACCAGACCTGTCTGGTGAGAGAAACCGGGTCACTTTCAGAGCTGAGGGGGAGTCATTTGCCCCGGCCCAGAGTCTCTGCCAGGGCTGGAAACCCAACACACTTCCAGGAAAGGAGGGGAGGACACAGGGCGCAGGAGGCCTCGCGGTGGTCCTGCCACTTCCCCTGTAGAACTGCCGCTCTGATAAGAGCCCTTCGGTTGTGAGTTTCATGGGTGTGGCCATAACTGGGCTCTGGGAACCCGATGGGTCTGGACTGAGTTGCCTCAGTCATGTCAGATGAGGGGTGACCCCTTGAAGCCAGGCCAGGTGGCCCAATGAGCATGCAGATCAGCTGCTCCTCAGAACTGGGCCTGACGACTCTGCTTTTTTAAAAAAACATATGTTTTTATTGATTTCAGAGAGGCGGGGGGGGAGAGAGAGAGAGAGAGAGAGAGAGAGAGAGAGAGAGACATCAATGATGAGAGAGAATCACGGATCGGCTGCCTCCTGCACGCCCCCTACTGGGGATCCAGCCCGCAACCCAGACATGTCCCCTTGACCGGAATCGAACACAGG